CCAATGTGATGGGCCCAATAGCACAGGAAGGCAGAGAGAAAGAGGGAGAGCTGGGGAGATTGACAGATGCAGGGATTCAGGGACAGAGAGGCCACACTAATACAGTGGTGTGTTGTGTATAGCAGGGTTTCCTAGACAAAAACAAAGCAAAGGTTCCTAGTTTATGAGAAGTGGCTGTTATACACTTTGGGATAGTTATTCCTATGCAGTATCATATTATGTTGTTCATTTTGTCTCCTCATCAACCATTAAGAAAAAGAATAACGGTTATATACACAATACACTGAAATGATATTTAAACATCATAAAAAAGTTCTAAGAGCCTGCTAATATACCTTCAAGCACACATACAGTATGGTGTCAATAATTGTCCATGTGTCCTATCACAGCTTTGTCGACCCAGACCCTTCATGCTAGATAGGCTGGGGCCTCCCTCCTCCCTGACGCAGAGTAACACAAACACACATTGCAGACCCACAACAGACCAGACAGCAGCATATGCATAACTAATGTAATGCCCTCAGTTTTAAAGGTCTTGTCACACCCAGCCAGACGTCTGGCAGAGTAGCGCTGAGGGGACCTATCCGGGGGCTTCTTACTGCCTTGTGGGTTTAATTAAGCAACGGTTAGAGACACTCGTGGTCAGGTTAACGTCTCTCTCTCTCCCGCTTGCCATTTCTCTCTCTGATGCTACTGCCTGCTGGGTAAGGGGGAAGAGGGGGACATGGCGTCGGAGGGGGAGAGGGGAAGAGTTAAGTGAGGAGGCAGATAAATTGTCTGTGTAGACGGCGAGGTGCATCGATTTAGGGAGACCCTGTTCTGAGGGGTTGGCGGTCAGGGCATGCTGGAGGTTTGGATGATGGGTATGCATATATATGAGCTGACGGGCTGAAGGATGTTTAATTGGAGATGATAATCAAATGGTAACTAACTCCTCTCGAATGGATGAGTGTGTGTGTGTGAGTCATAGAGGGGAGAGCAAATCAATATAGAACTAGGGAACAGAGCAGGAAGCATTATATAATAACTGAACAGAATAGAGTAGTAAAATGTATGTGATGTGAATGAATGAAATATGTCTGCATTGATTGCACTGTACAGTACTGTATTATGCACACAAATGTATACATATCACTGTAACATTCATCTAAAAAAACAAACCTGGGTGTGAAATGAGTTGTTCTCATTCCTGGCAAACCTTCCTTGAAAAGATATGCGCCTCAAAACAATTTAGAAGCACATACACTTACATGCATCAACATGCACGCACAGGCCCACACACACGCCCCCGACACCCCCTCGAACACTCCCACGCTAATAGTACATTTGAACTACAGAGCTAATACAACGTGCCAACCAACCTCCAGGCTAGCTCTCCAGGTGAACACATAAAAGAGACACTGAAGAGCTATTAAATGCTGATCTTGACAAGTTTCCTACCGCAACACAACAAAAGATGACTAAATGCGCCCGCTGCATGCGGCTTTGTTTCATACCTCCAGCAACCAACCATCAGGTTACCTAGGTTTCCCCCCTTCCTCGCATTCTCATCTTAAAGTGCCATTTGATTCTGACACCTATTTTATGTAAACCATTTTAAAGTGTGCGTGTACCTGGCTGTTGCCGAGGAGATGAGTGGCATCTCCGAAAACATTAAAAGGCTCTCCCTGACACTGACGATACCTCCTCCAAGGCAAGGCAGACAAGCAGCCATCTTTGTTCTGCCAGGATTACGATGTCTTTTGTTGTTGTCTGTTTTCATGTGCAGGTTACAGTACATGAACCTCTGACGCCTCGCAGGCTGGATGTAACGACGTGGAGTCTCACCCAGAATCTTTAAGGCTGTTTTGTGAAGACAGTTGTTTTAGGGAGGGTCCTTTCCATACTATACCAGCTGTCAGAGAATGACCTGCAACACCTCTTTCTAGTCTACTACTGTATAGTATATGCCTATCTGTGCAATCCTTTTTTCTACACTGTTCTTACAGAATATATACAGTCACATGTTTTATAGCCTACTGTGTACCTATGCCCTAACCTAAATGAGAAACTAAACTATAAAGACGCCCATACAGTAAACAAACGTATCCGTGTTTACATGGAAGCCCATGTACAGTAAGGGGTGGATTCGGTAAGACAAAGTGAACTGAGTGTATGACTACAGACCACTAATCCACTATAGCCATGCAGTCTCACACACAGCCAAAATCTTACTCAAGCTGCAAGGCAAACTTCTCCTCTGCCTCCACCAGAATAAAGTGTAATCTTATAGTATTGCCTATACTGCCTTTCCCCGAGCAAATCTCTGCTAGTGACATCCACCATGCTGCTCTATGCAGTGCATCTTCCACTGGGGATAAGCACACATAATATCCATAGAAATACATTATGATAGAAATATACCTGGATATAATTAATTCAAAGGCGTGTCTTTTGTTGGCATGTCCATTGAATAGAGGCATTGATATAATACACAATAAATGTATTGTCTGTCTGACTTGTGGCGTCTGTAGAGGTTTTGTAAATAAAGCCAGTCTGGCTTTGAGTAATGTCTCTCTACACGGAGACACATTAGCCCTAATGCACATGTTAGTGCTACAAACGGCTGTATAATTAACCAAGCTTCTGCCTTCGGTTTTGCCTGACCTAAATCCTACAGCTCTGCTTTGGCCCTGGTGGGCTTCCATATCATCACAGAACCACAGTTATGGAGTTACAGCACTGTAATGTAAGGAAGAATCCCCCTCCCCAAAATAGAACAATATCCCAATTTCAAAAGAGTTTGTGTGGAATGTCCATGGACATTTACACCCATGAAAACGCTTGACGAGATCATTATTTCTCAGCTAATTACAAATCTAATTAGAATATTCCAATGAATGCTTCGCCCCCTTTCTCTCTATTTTCGAATGAAGAGAGAGAAAGAGCCTAGCTACTCCAGTGAGTGGCAACGTGATAACCTGTAATCTACGGCGCTAGCAAACACCTTCTCCTTTGATGTCCCCCACTAACATCCCAGGCAACAAAGCAGACCAATTACAAATGAGCTAATTAACTAAATTGTTGATGAAGCATGAAGAGTTCATTCAGTCCGTCGCAGGCGCCATGACAACACTGAATGCAGCCATTGTGGGGCCCCCGCGCATCTATACAAGTTGCCATTCGTTTTTGATGCTCTTCACACAAGCCTATCAGGCCCTTTCACTGCAACTCGGTGAGCTGAAGAGGAGATTTGGGTGTAAAAAGGTCATTTACATCTAGAGTTAATGTAGCCAGCCGCCTCACAGTCTATACAATCTATACATCAAAATGTCCCCATTGAGATGCAAGCGTGTTTATCTCTTTGTTGGGCCCCCTCGATTAAGCTCGCAAAGAGCCGCTCTGGTACTGTGGAAAATACCCCAGAATAGGCCTCTACAGTTTCATTATTGAGAAACAAAAAATGTACAGCAGCTAAGCTCATCTTAGTTGATGAATGGCAACTTTTATACCATGGAACATAAGATGTCGTTTCTGCAGTGAGAAAGAGCCATGAGAGGCGCTTGGCTGGGTGACATGAGGCTTTATCGGATTTCATGGGGGCCATTGTCTTGGCCTGTGGTTGTTAAGTGCAACTGTCATTGAGCTTGTACTTTTTTAGTATTAACAAAGGAGACTGTAACGTAGTGCACAGTCATGAAGTAAATTCACAGTGTAAGCTAAGACATGATGATATATGCAGTCGGTCAGTACAGGAAAGGGGAGGTGAGTTAAGACACAGTGTAGAGTAAATTCTTAGAGTAAGACCTACTTCAAAAACTGTCCGAAGTCGTCACAGACGCTCTCGCAGCCGGGCCACTTGCACACCCCATGACCGTAGAGAGAGTGGGAGGCTCCGCTTTCCTCATGTAACGAGCTGAAGAGAGAATAGAGAGAGAGAGGGAGAGAGAGAGAGAGAGAGAGAGACAGGGGGAGAGAAGGAGAGGGAGAGAGAAGAGAGGGAGAGAGAGAGAGAGAGGAGAGAGAGAGGAGAGAGAGAGAGAGAGAGAGAGAGAGAGAGAGAGAGAGAGAGAGAGATAGAGGGGAGAAAGAAGAGAGAGGTAGAGAGAGACAGAGACAGAGAGAAAAAGGAAGGATCGGGGGTAGAGAGTAAGAAGGAGAGAGAGAGAAGGGTAGACTGGCGTCAGATTCATCACAAAAGGCTGCTGGTGGCTGTCAGGTTACCATCAGCGACAAGCAGGTCAAAACAGGTCAATTCAGCCCTGTTCTATTGAATAGTTCAACTGCCAAGGCTGCTAGGAGGAGGGAAGGAGCCTAATTAAGCCAAGGATGGAAGTCACTGTCTGCATCTGAAATAGCACCCTATTCCCTATATAGTGCACTACTTTTGGCCAGAGCCCATGAGTCTCTTGCTGCTCTGGCCAAAGGTAGTGCACTATAAAGGGAATAGGGTGTTTCTAATAACAGAAGGGTGAAAAGATGAGGACGGGTGGCATAGCAATATGGTTAACATCTGATTATTGATCTAGAGGTTTAGCTATGTTATTGCAAACCCCTAAACAATGTGTGAGAAACCATCCAGCCAACCCAAATTCATAGAGGGACCAATTTCCTTTTCTTTTTTTCCCGACCCCTATTTCTTCATCTTGTAAAGTGATCAACGGAGGACTTTCAAGTAAACATGAAAAATCCAGACGGCCATATAATTTTCATCATGAGATTAATAATATTCTCTGTAAATTATGTTATTTTGAGGACAAGAGGGGGTTCTGCTTGGGAAATGGCACCCAAATAAGTTATGACCCTGAGTAGACAGCACATCCTATTAAAAGTGACGGTTTAACCTTTCGGCTCCACTTGTTTCTGTATTTGGGGGGTTGGAGGGTGTGTGTGTTCGTGTGTTCGTGTGTCAGTGTGTGTGTGTGAGGGGGATTTTGTGTGTGTGTGAGAGCTCACACAGGGTTTCTACAGGCAGGCTTTCCCTCCATCGATCCACTGTGTGTTAGTAAGCATCTCTCCTTGACAATACTCCGTGTTCGATCATTACGAGACGCCACACCCCCCCCCGGGGGACACTAACAGATAAAAAGTGTTTTCTTTCTCTTTTTTTCCCTCCCTACACCTCCTCCTGTTTTTCTTTCTCTTATAGGAGACATCTGCCTTCTAAATATATATTTTTCAAGCCCCCTTTTAGTGGTGGTAGCAGATAGCATCTACTTTAAACCAATTACACAACACATCCACCTCCACTGAAGTCGATCTACCACCACTACACTACACCACATTCTTATTATATCGCAGGAAAGAGCCTTGAATAATACATAGACCCAGATAGACAGATATGTGAACAGTGCTTTCTTACAGTCGGAACCTCATATAAAGGCGGCATCACAAGGATAAACATTCTAAAATACCACCTTGGCATCATGTATTCTGTTTACATGACAAGCGGAGCAGCTAGGTAATTTCAAAAGAAAAGAGCCACTAAATACTTAATGTACGGTTGCGGTTACCTTTGCTTTCTGCTCATTCAGCAATGTATTGCTGCCGGTGTCTTCCTTGCTTTGATATGGTGTAAGCAACTGTGTTCAATAGCATCCTATGCTGTCCCTAGGGAGGCCGAGGCTGTTTTTTGAATATTACCAAGACACTAATAAACTATTGAACAAACAAACAAAACATCATGTTCAACCCGGCAGGAACAGATAGGTTTTTTCTTTTCGTTTCTAAACGGGGACAAATACTCTGATCGGGAGTTTCTATAGATAGATATCAAATGTATTTGTACATTATTAAAAGCCATAAAACAACAAACAACTACCAGTCAACAACAAGCTTTTTGTGCGTCCTAACTTTTGTGTGTACAATGTGTTGTGTGGTGAGTGGCGGATGAGTTGCTCACTTTCCGTACCTCTCCCTTTCCCGTTCCCTCTCTCGCTCTCTCTCTCTTCTGGAGTTGAGTGCGGGAGACTGGCCATTGGCGATGGAGTGGTGGGAGATGGGAGGTGATGCTTTGGAAGTGGTAGAGGAGGTAGTCGAGGAAGAGTTGGTAGTGGTCAGGTCCAGGCCACCGCCGCCGCCGCTGTGTTTGATGCCGTTGTCCTCCATGTTGTGGCCGCCACCGGTCACGTCCTTCCACAACTGTTGGAGCTCTGCTGGGCTCAGTCCAGCTGGGAGAGGGGAAGAAACAGAGGACCAATACAGTTACAATACAGTTACACATACACTACTATGCCTGGAGCTGATGTATTGTAGACTACATAAACACAGAGTCATCACAAACCAACACAAATAACTTCCTCCTGTTTACTGCCTACATATATCTCTAACTTACTTGTTGATCCACCACCCAGGCTTAGTCTTTTAACCAAATGACACACAGCTACACTGAGAGATTAACTGGGATGATCTCTTGTTAGCGGTTCTGCTTAATAAGAATGCAGTGTTCCAATGAAATCTACAGGGAACCACGGGCATTGATCTACAATGGCTGCCACTGGATTACATTCATAGAGAAAGAAGAATTCAGTTAGCACAAATTATATTATCTAGCTAGATAAATGCGCATTGTCCTTTTGTTTCAGCCTCACACTGGTAATTAACCCCCCTTCGTTTGGTGCCTTCCTAGTTGTTGTTGTTGTTGTTGTTGTTGTTGTTGTTGTTGTTGGTTTCCCCCCCGCCATTTTGGTAAACATGTATTTACTTCTTGGCGAGGCGAGAGAAAATGGAAGCTGCTTCTTCGCTGCTTACTGTGAGGCAGGCAGTAAACAACAACAACAACAACAACCCAGAGAGGGAGGGGTGAGCAGGGAGCGAGGGAATAGAGGGGGAGAGAAAAACACTCACAGACACAGGAAGAGACAGAGAGACAGGCAGCGCTGAGAGAGAAAGAGAGATAGAAACAAAGAGGGAAATAGAAAGAGAGATAGAGAGAGCGGTGTGGCCGCCGGCAGTCACATGCGCTATAGCCCCCCAGCCCCAGAGCCCCTGAAGCCCCAGGCTCTCTCCCCTTCCCCCTCCTCTCCCTCCTCACTCCCTCCAGCCACCCCCTTACCTGGTTGCATGGTCTGCCCGGGGAGGGCTGCCTGTCCTGGGGCCGGGGGCAGGGAGAGCAGGCCCTGGCGCTGCATGTTGAGCAGGTGCTGCTGCTGCTGGAGCTGTTGCATCTGGAGGAGTTGCTGCTGGAAGACGAGCTGCTGGGCAGCGAGCTGCTGCTGATGCTGCTGCTGCTGTTGCTGCTATAGTGAAGAGGAGCAGGAGGAGGAGGCGGAGGAGGAGGAGTGGAGGAGGAGAGGAGCACAAATTACACAAATTAACAAGAAAGTGGGCGCCCACAATGACGACGAGGACGCTTCCATTGCCGATGCTGCTGCTGCTTCCATGATCTTAACTGCCTGTCTCTTTTCCTCTCTCCTTTCTCTCTCTTTCCTCTCCTCCTTTTTTGCTTAGTTCCTGTTCTATTCTGTCTCCTCCTCTTGCTGAACGAGGCAGAGCTAGGCACACTGGGCTGATAGACTGACTGACTGCACTCTCCACTCCAGACTGCTATGAGATGAGTCTTCTGAATGATATTAAGCCCTGGGTAATCCCTTCCCCCAACAGCTGATAGTTAATTGTCTTGCATTTGCTGATGGTCTATTACAGCTTATGGGGCCGAGGGGAACTCGCTGGGAGATTCACAGCAACTGAGCCCACCAGCGTTACCCTCCCTCCTTCCCTCCCTCCCCCCCACCCTCCCAAACCTGTTTACTGCTGGGCCAGCCAGACAGCCGACTGCGTAAGCCCGAGCGAAACAACAACATCAACAACAACAACAAAAAACAACTGCCAAAGCAACCACAGAAAAACAAGCTGGAGGGGAAGGGAAAAAAGCCCTGACTTTTGTGGCTTAATCATAACAGTACTATTCCACAGGCAAAAACACAACTATAAATCAGAACTATAAGCTGATGTTATTGCAGATGTCGATCAGACAGCTAACTGTGTATTACCATGATATAATCCGTTTCTATAACAGTAAACATGCCAAGAACTGAGCATCACTTCATTACCAGTTTAATGGTACTTCTTTTTCACAGCTAAACATTTTTAGTCCTCAGTGGGCTGTGGATGATGATCTCTAGTGGTCTATTAGGAAACATGGGAGGTACTGGAGCTATCGTACAACAGGCTCTGTTAGCTCTACATCTCTCTCTCCTCTCTTTTTCCTCCACTATCTTTCTAATATCAGATTCCATTGCAAAAAAAATGTACATTCACTCAAGGAAAGGCCTGTTATTATAGGAGAGTCTAGAATAAATGTTGTTGTTTTTTGGCCAAGAATAACAAAACCAAGGCGGCCATCGAGTTGTGGAGAGACACTCATGAGGATATATGTGGAGGCAGTCACACTTCACAGAGAGACAAGCTGCATTGGAAGACCCTTTCCTTTCTAGCCTGGGGGGTGAGGTGTGGGGTCAGACAAAACTTGTGATGCGCTCACTGGAAAACAGACTGCATAATGGAGCAAGTCATGTGGATTGGACCCGCCGTCTCAGGAGAAATAAAGGAGCAATTTCTATTCTATATTTGATGGCGACGGAGGGCTCAAAATTCTATTCACAAATCCAAACAGAAACAAAGCCTCCGGGAGGTCAGTAGCAGCTTCCTGTAGGGTCTGCATAATGGGCCGCTTGAAGAGACAGAGAGAGAGAGATGGAGGGAGGGAGGGAGGGAGGAGGGGATAGAGAGAGAGGAAAGAGAGAGGTGCCTGGGAAAAGGTGTCTGCGATACCTTTTCCTGATCAATTTAACTGCTTCCCCATGTTTTGTTATGATTTGGCCTCGGCACAGCGCGCGGCGTGCTACGATGTTCGGCTCCTGTGACAGACTGCGAGCCTCGCCCAGTAGACTGGCGGGCTGTCAGTGTGATTTATGAGCGCGTCACACTCTTAACTTTTCTGCTGCTCGCCGCTCGGCCAAAACCCACAGAAGCAGTTCATTAATCAGCAGACCCTGTGACTTGGTCCTCTCTCTCTCTCGGCTCAAACTGGGCTTTTTAGCTTTTTAACATCACGTCCCTCCATTTACATGTTTTAGAAGGAGGGAGAGAAAAACCCCAGTAATTTCTCCCCAAGTCTCCCCTAGTGGCAGATAACAAGTGTCAGTGCTTTGCCCATCAAACACATACAGCACACACCACGTAACACTGGGAGAACCATTAGCTAGCATTAGAGAACATTGGCTTTGGATTAGTTAGCTTGGTCTGTGGAATCGCAGAAATATGGGGAAGGTTTCCCCAAACCACAGCTGCTAACCTGAAGACTGAACTGAGTGAGACAGCCAGAAAGACATCATCTAGACTTCTTCCCTGCTTGTTTTGCATGTCCGCCCATTCCCTCCCACTCCCACTGTCAGGCCATTACGTGTCTAAACAGATACCCACCTCTTTTGCTTGCTTTCCAGGGTGCTGCTGTTGTAAAAGCTGTAGGTGTAGCTGCTCCTGCTGTTTCTTATAAAACTCCTGCAGATGTTGCTGGGAGGGGAAGAGAGGGAGAGAGAGATTATAACATCATTGCAGGTAACCTAGGAGAATGTCCATATTATCTTCTGGCTATGTGAATAGACATTGGCAAATGCTTCTTTGCTCTTGGTTTCATTGGTATGGTGTGTGACGTTTTGGGCAGTGGAAAGCCTAGATTTACTGAGACAGAGTATATTGACCATATGGTATAATACTGTAGCAATGTGTTTGTAAAGTTAATAAGAAATCTGTTTCCATACTAGAGCAGCAAAATGAGCATTGGCCAAGGTTCTGACATGTTGTAATTCATTTTGTTTGTCGTTGTTTTTCCTTTTTTTGTTGAAAATGAGGTGCCACGACAACACCGACACATGTTGGTTACGTATAACACATCATTGAAGTGCCATAAATAATCTTATTCATTTTCTAGCAGGGGGGACACATACTGTAGTCTCGCTCTCCCTCCATGTCTTCTCCATATGGACTTTAAATGGCCTCGCACAGTACTGGAGGGGGCACAATTAATCATATTAACTAGTATACAGTTTTTGGTCTAATGTCTTGACAGGCACTGAAATGCTTTAAAGTGAATACAGCACTCTAAAAGTAATGCGTTTAGCACACATCACACATAACATCCACTGTCTGCTGTCTATGCTACTCTCAGTGACTCCTGAAGATAGAGGAGGTACAGTAGGGTCTTATAAAGAATATACAATTGCAATCAGTCTATAGCCTGCATGGGACATCTTCCTGAAACTGAATTAATTCATAAATTCCACTAAAGAGGGTAGTTAATTAAACAATATTTCCCTACTTAAGGCTTTCCTCACTGCAGTCTATCTATGAAATAATGATGAAATTACAAGTCAACTCCTTCCATATATGACTCAGCCTGTCTCACTTCCTGTATTGACTCCACCCCTCTTTCATTGACTTCCTCATAACTACAGTAACTATGTCTTTATCCTGACAGCTTTTACCTTTCCTGAGGGCTCCCAGGAAATAGACCCTCGGCGGAATATAGGTAATTGGTTGTGACGTGGTCAAGTGCGTCACTTCTAGTCTCTCTCTTTTATAACTGTGTCAAGGGCGCAGCGGGCATGGATGTACTGTACATTATGTTTGGTGTGTATACAGTGCAACACAGGCAGTGTGTGTGTGTGTGTGTGTGTGTGTGTGTATGTGGGTGCAGGTATTATGTGACCATATGCATGTAACTGTGTGTGTATGACTATGACACTATGTCTGTGTGTGTCTAGGTGAATGTCTCTCGGTGTGTATTTGATTGTGTGGATGTGTGTGTGTGTTATTACGCATGTCTCTCTGTGTGTATCTACTAGGTGTGTATCTGTTAGGTACCTGCTGCAGCATGACGGCCTGCTGCTGTTGGAGCAGGGCCTGGAGCTGCTGAGGGGATAGGACCTGCTGCTGAAGGATCTGCTGCATCTGCTGGGGGGTGATCACCTGGGGACTCATCATGGCCACCGACACCGGCACCTGGAGGGAAGGGTGGGGGGGGGGGGTGGAGGAGAGAGAGAGAGAGAGAGAGAAGGGGGGAGCAACAGAGGTAGAGAGAGAGAGAGAGAGAGAGAGAGAGAGGAGAGAGAGAGAGAGAGAGAGAGAGAGAGAGTCAGGTCTGGCTGGCCTCAGAGCCCACTGGGAGCATGGTAATTGGGGACCAAAAGGTAGAGGAAGCATGTCTCCCGTCACCCTTGTGCTGTGGCACTCAGTGCTGAAGGATGGATGGGTGCTGTGCCTTTGTGTTTCCTTGCCTTATTTTTGACAGTCTGCCCGCTGGGAGAAGAGAGGGATTTAAATAGACGTATACCCTAATTAGCTGAACCCTTGAACCGCCTTAGGCATGCTTATCAGTGACGGCCATTGTGAAACAGCAGGAAAATGCACAACTCCAAAGTTGATTAAAATAACACAGTTGAAGTGGACACTTGGTATGCACAATCAGCATGCAAGCACCCAGACAGAACCTGAGGTTGGAGATCACTCAGAAAGAGCCTTGGAGAGACAGAGAGAGAGAGATTCTTAGAGAAACTTGCTCTGAGAGGAAAAGAGAGATTGGTGCTAGTAGACAATTCTGTTTATAGAGTGGAATTACCAGCTGCCTTTCTACAGCACAAAAGTTCTTCAATTTCCTCATTCTCACGAAAAGCAGCCAGAGGCGCATTTGTTTCTCCCGATTGACATGTCATTTTGAAAAACGTATGTCATTTTTTAGGTGATAAGAATCATTCAATTACTAGCTGCTGTCAAAACTGCTAGAGAAAACTTCACCAAAACAAAACAAAGATAGATATTTCTCAGCCAAAGTCTTATAAGACAGTAGATAGTGACCTTCTAACACAACAGATCAATAACAAAGCAAGAAAGATTCAACTTTTCATTGCTTCTCACTTTGATTGCCTGCATGAGCACATAGCAACAGGGGAATGTAGCTCTAATGTTTATATCACTTTTCATTCAATTCGTGTCGGGTACATTTCTTTTACAATGACTGGAATGAATACAAACGCTGGGATGAGTTTATTTACTCTGCTACGCTGCTGTGAAGTTTGAAAGAAAAACTCAAAACTGCTGAATGAAGGAATTTGAAACTCTCTCTAGAGTCTTTCACTTTCACCTGTTGGGGACATGGTTTAATCTGAAAATGTTATTTGACTGCAAGGGCTTTAGGCATTTTAATATTCTATTACACATCAAACCATTACAGATGCAGAATAGTCTACCAAATAGTATCTTATGCTAAGATAGGATGATTAAATCTCTTGCAGGCATCTTTAAAGAATAGGACTATACTGAATCTGTTAGTATGTGGTTGTGGCCATTCCATAGCCCCCGCTAATTGCGACATCGTTTAGCACATAGTCGTTATGACAGTATACTACGACGGCATGACAAAAAGGGCCAATAAGACCCTCGTGCCCCCTAACGTCTAACGCTGCTGTCTAATCAAGCTGCTTGATTACTTTCCATACATCTCTCCCTGTATCCCCCTCCCCTCCATCCCCCCCATCTCTCAGGCCTTGACACGTCCTTGTTTTGCTCTTCTCTCCCCTCCTCAGCCCAGGTTCCCCTCTTTGATTAGCTGAGACATTTGCATGGTCACTACACATTTTTCATTTTAGAAGTCATTATGCATTAGCGCTCCTGATCGCCCAGCTTGACTAATCCTGATGAACTGAAAATCACAGCTGAAGGTCAAACTCCATCCCCAGCCCCATCCTCCTCCTCCCCACCGCACCGCCACATTCATATTCAAACAAATCCTAGCCTGCCACAATTGTTCATTAGGGTCTTAGAGAGAGTGTGTGTGTGTGTTGGCGTGTGTGTGGGCGTGAGTGCGTGCGTGAAGGCTGTTGTGGTATAGCAGTAGCCTCACTCTCTTCTGCACTTCGTTAAGGAGACACAAAACAAAGAGGCTGAACAAAGCAACAAAAATCACAAATGAAACATCTGCATGTAACTAAATGCGCCGTGCTTACACCTTCAGTGTTATTAAACCTTAAGATACATCTGTGACTTGCAATTACCCTGGGGGCCACCCTGTTGAATTGTGGTGGACAGGATGACAATGCTTTCATTAAAACCCATTAATTGGCTGCTTGAATGAGGATCCTGCGGTTAATGTGGTTGACAAAAGGGGAATCTGGTGTGAGTCTGGGTTTTTAAATGTAAACATGTAAATAGTGAAAAGACATAACCATACAAGACCATATAATGAATCACTACACCACTAAACATTAACAGCCCAGTTGTACTGGATGAGGATAATACTGTATCTGAACAACAAGCCAGGAAAAAACTCATACATCCTAACAAGGGGATTCAAAACCGAAAATAGAAAAACAGGCAACAAATGAAGTCAAGGAAGTGGCTTTCCCGCTTTCATTAGCTTTTTAGCTAGCGAGTGATGGATGATAATCATCTTCATTTCATCGCTCTTCCCTAAACAAAAAGAGAGGCAGGCGAGGCGGAGGCGAGGAAGGCCCCGGCCCTCAGTTCATTGTTGAAGCCCCAGCACAATGCTAATTCCAGGCATTTAACTGCATGCTTTTCTGCTTGACGTATCAGAGCCTCCAAGATGAAAGACGATAAGTAATTGCTCTCCTGGTTCTTATTCTTCACTGACAACCCATAAATTTAATTTTACACACGTTCATTTACATTTTCGAGTATATGACATGATAATTGCCGGAATATAACACCTCCATTCCGCAGGATACTGCAGCCCGGGCGCCTGATTGACAAGAGCAGTGAATTGAAAGGAACAGAGGCTGAATTGCTTCTCCTCGAAATGATTTTGCCATGAAGGGACAAAATTAATGAGCATTTACAGGGACCGTCGCGTCATAAACACGGGCAGACAATGAACGGTCCTCTCACACACAGGATCACACAACCACCATGATATCCAACAACGCTAGGCTAGCTAGCTAACTCCTCTGTCATCCAAACGAACCACATTACCAATCTATTATGACAAAAAAACCTTAATGAGATTTCTTAAATCATTAGAAAATTAGCTACAGTTGTGGTTGGTCACTGGGGAGGTCGGTAATAACAGAAATGGATGGTTCTAATTTTTTGTTCTAATGTGCAAATTGTTCCCAAATGGGCATGTTCCCAAATTATCCTACTCCAAATCCACCAAAGTAACACATCATATAATTGGTATGTGGGTTAACATGATTCTAAACAAAACAATACACAGCATGGCAATCAAAGCAGGCTTGGGCGCTCCCTATCTGTTTATTTCCTTTGCCTAAAGAAAGCCGAGGAAGGCATATAGGGAAGACGATGACTATCAACTTGAACTTTGGAGGCCATGTGGTTTGCTGCTTAGCTCCAAAGTCTGAGTGCAGAACAAAGGACCTTTAAATTGGATCCTGATGAGAAAACATTGGCCGCCCCTCACAAGAACAAGCACATCATTAAGGTGCTCTCTCTCGCTCGTCACACTCCGAGCCAGAGAACGAACAAGCCTCTTCACGGCTGCAAAAGGTCAACTTCTTCTCCGGAGAGAAGTGATCAGGTACCTCTAGACTCCACCAAGGCAGCAGTTGCGGGTTATTTCCGGTGAGAGGCCTCGTATTTTGTTTGATTTGACTGAGAATTGTGCGATTAAAAACACACCGCCGCTCGGTGGCTCTCCGCATCGAACCAATGGACAGATTAATGCATCTTCAGCGATTATACCCACTTCGACTTATCTTTACGACAATGGATTTACGACCAAATCAAATTACACTAAAGGCCGTAGAAGGAAATATCCCACAGTATCAGAGTTTAAACTTAAACAATTAAGGGGTGAAAAAAAGACAGGAATTTCTCTCAATTTCTGTAGAATTCACTTAGCGGTAATAAGTGGGGGAAGTTCCCGATTAGATGTGGGACTGAGGCATAAACAGGACCGGAGATGGGATGGTGAATAGAGTGAATAACGTTAGGGCCACTTCAGTACTTGCTGAACGGTCTCAGAGCTGCCACAGATACTGTTAAGATAAATAAAATGAGAAATGGAGGGGCGTAAGGTGGTAATTACTTGAGCTGCTTGGCAGAGACAAGCTTCAGTGTTAATTAAGGTGTTAGACCCATTTTAGCCCAGAGAAGAGAGAGGGATAGAGAGAGGAGCGAGCGAGAGAGAGGATGGAATTCCTCCAGTGTCCCCCACTAATTCATCTCAATCCCGGGCTCCCCAGGGGCTGTGGGCCCCAAACTACAGACTCCCTCTGAGCTGCTGAACTTCTGACCCCTCCAGTCCCTTTCAGCTGACACTGCTCATTTACTAACCAATTACTGCCAATGGTGGCCAGGCTCTTATTGATAGGGGGCTACTTCACGGCCAGACCACCAAGGCTACCTCCCAGGCCTCCTTCCCTCCCTGCAAGCTTTGCTAACTTTTCAGAACTTCTCAGAGCAGTGGGCATAGTGTAATACATAGAGTAATGGCTCTTGCTCTTGTTCACACACACACACACACACACACACACACACACACACACACTTCAGATTAGAAGATCAACACTCCAGATTGTCAGGACCAGAGCTAAGTAGATTAGAAAATGTTTTCCCAAATCACCACAGTATGCGACATGCAATCTATCAAAACATAAAGACACCTGTCCTCTAATAAAAGAGTTAGGGGATTATGGTAGGCTCAGTGGTCTTTCAAAACATATCTATCTCTGTGTAGATAATCCTGATTCCCTTTTCATTGATAAAGCTGAGGACATGTACTGTGTACCGGTAATATGTCACTACAACAGTGTTTATAGCCTCCAGTAGCTAGTTGAGTGGAGCAGACTCTGTACTGTCTTTCCCAATTGATATTTCCTAATAGGTCTCCTAGCAGGTATCTTGGTGTGTGCCGTAGTAGCTTGTACTCTTGGAGGGAACAGGTACTACAGAGACCACTGGATCAGCCGCTTCATCAAATGACACGCGCTAAATTACAAGTGCTTCAAGCAGCTCAGTGAATTATAGTTCATCACTTGGAAAGGCTTCCCACTACCAGGGCTGCTACACGTATCAGATCTGCCAGTTAGTATCCAATTAACACCCGGGCCAGAATAATCAGATTGCATGTGTAAGGGTCTGGTATAACTCGCTTATTGCTTCCATGCATCTTCTGTCAGAAGGTAAATTTGTTGCTGCTACATCAAAGGTCTGGGGATGTAGCACTTTCTTAATGTTTTTCTACTCTGCTGCCGCTTGCCTTGGGGTTATATTGAACCTCCTCTGTCCTTGCAATTTAGCAATCTTGTCCTGTAGGTGTGTGTAACTAACACAGATGGGGAAAAAAGAGAATAAAATCTTGTTTTCTTGTTACAAAAGCATGCAGTCACCGAGGGTGTTTGAGTAAAAATGTGCTGACACTTCTTTCTCCTCCTTCTCCAAGAGTCAACAGAAGGTTTCTTCATGAATAATAACAAAATGTTTTTCAGAGGTTATACTTTTTTTCTCCTATTTTGAGATCCTACCACTGCAGAGCAGATAGATTTTAATAAATGTAAATGTGAAATACCATCCTCCATCTTTAGCCTATGTTTCCTACTTTGTCCTCCAATGTCCTCCACACACAGGCACATGGGATGCTGACCTAGGCAGAGTTGCAAAGAAAAAGTCCAGTGACTGTCTTCT